CAGAAAAACCAAGAGAGTATAGTGGAATGTAAAGGAGAATATTTAAAGGCGTGGTTGGGGGGTTGTCCCTTGTTTTGAATTCTGTTCAGAAGTCAAGATGAGGATAGAAAAGGGATCACAGAGCTGGCAGAGAGGTCATTGTGAGTTTAACACAAAGTTTCAGTGCCTTAGTTGGGTTGGAAGCCAATTGGAGTGGGTTTAGAAGAGGATGGGATGTGAAAAGGGAAAGAATCATTAGAAAAATTTTGCAAGACATTTAATAATGATTTGAAGTGTTTTTTTTTAAAAAATATATATATATTTTTAAATATATTTTATTGATTTTTTACAGAGAGGAGGGGAGAGGGATAGAGAGTTAGAAACATCGAGAGAGAAACATCAATCAGCTGCCTCCTGCACACTCCCTACTGGGGATTTGCCTGCAACCAAGGTACATGCCCCTGACCGGAATCGAACCTGGGACCCTTCAGTCCGCAGGCCGACGCTCTATCCACTGAACCAAACCGGTTAGGCTGAAGTGTTTTTTAAAAACCTGCATGTACAGCCATTTGAGGGGTAGAGGGATTTGAAGTGAATTTTCAAAATTTATCCATATTCTACAACTCCCACATTTGAACTTGTAAATAGTAGTAAGACCTAGTATTTCTGTCTTGGCCTTTATGTCATCCCAAAAAAATTGATGACAACAGTCCTGGCCGGGTGGCTCAGTTGGTTGGAGCGTGGTCATCCCATACATCCAAAAGGTTGTGGGTTCAAGTCCTGGTCAGGGCATATACCTAGGTTGCAGGTTCGATCCCAGTTGGGGCGCGTACAGGAGGCAACCGATCTATGTTTTTCTCTCACGTCGTTTCTCTCTTCCTCTCTCGCTAAAATCAATAAAGATTATATCCTTGGTAAGGATTTTTTTAAAATTTGGTGACAATAGTAATTAAGGACACAGTTGATTTTTAGTGTCACTTGCCAGTGGTGTAAGTGGGAAGCTTCCAAAGGGCATGAACTACAACTATAGACCAGTGGTCGCCAACCTTTCGGACCGCACGGACCACCAGTTGGCAACCACGGCTACTGACTGTCTAGGCATTTATTTTTCTTTCATGCATTTCATTTCAGCATATTAAAAATCTTTTCTTACCCTTAGTTTTATGATTTTTTAACTTTAGATAGTTTTATTTTAGAGTTTAGCTTTCCCTGTATACTATAATAAATGTATATTATCTAGTAAAATTTTTTTAACACATCTGACATTTGGGAAGTGGCAGAAATCAGTGGGTCTTATATAAAATGTAGTGTGATGTGAATATATAAACGTGCATGTTTACATATGTTGAATGGGGTCCGGCCTGCTACCGCTTAGATAAACGTGCAGTCAGTGTGCATGAGTAGACGCGTTTACTAAAGTCTTGTTAGAGATCTACCACTGGACTTCTCTATGCTTTGCTACAGTTATCAGTGTTTTCCTTAGAGGCCATAGGGCAGAAAAGGTAGGACTAAAAGGAAAAATTGACTCGTAGTTTTAGCTTATTTACCTTTAAAGTCCTTTCTTTAATGAATGTTACTAGTAAATATTAACTTTCTTAAAGGAGGAATTTAAGATTTGGAGTTTTTCCCCCCATTTTCTTTCTCTGCCTCTTTCATGTGGCTAGGACAGTAGGATTTTGTATGGGAGCCCATAGTTTTCTTGTCAGTATTAATGATCACACTTTTTTTCCCCTCTCAAGGAAATGCCTCTGGTTGCTTCGTCACTATTGTTTTAGACGTCTTATTTTGGATTTTTCTCCTAAAACTTTCCTGGGATGAAAAACAGTGATTGTTGAAAAGATCTTTATTTTATCTGGTATTTTTATCCTTTGTAAGTGCAACTAGAATTCTACATTTTAAATATTTTTTTTAGGGCATTTTACATGGAACAGTGGTGAATGTTTTTAACCTTATGTAAATATATTTATACAGTTGTGTAACTCCAATATAGGCTGCAGGTTTATAAAATTTACTTCTATTTAGGTTGTAAGATGATACAATTAGGTGCACTACTTTCTCATCATCTATAAATACTTATTTGCCAACTACTGTCAAGCATAATGTTGTGGAATATATACAGTAACGATTTTTTATGAGTGTTTTTGTGATATAAAATTGTAGCTTTGTCCTGAAATGTTTATTCAAAGACATTTTTAGAAATTTTTTTCTCAATAATCACTAGTTTATTTTTTTGGTCTTTGATGACCAAATTCAAAAGTTTATAGAATCTCCAATACATTAGAATATTTTGAAAGGGAATTCACTTTAATAGCAAGTTATAAATTTGAACTTTTTCAGTTTTATTCTCATTCCTTTCTTATCTATAAAAGAAGTACATAATCTCGTCTCATATGTAGTACTAACAGGAGTAAAGTTTGTAAAGTTGGTTCATTCCTGTATTTTTTATAGTCATGGGTTACAGTTAGTGAAAGATTCTGATGCATAAATAGAATTCATCCTTTTGAAAATTCTGTTGGGAAAGAAGAGCAGTGGTAAGGAAGTGGTCCTTATCCATCAAATCTGAACTGAGGTTTTGTTTGGTCTAATATAAATTTCTGTTTTATATTTATCATACTTCACTAGAATTCTATATTTTGATTTAATGCTGATAGTCATACTTCTATATTGCTTTGACAGTTCTGTTGGCGTACAACAGAATCCTGAGGTGCAAAGTCAGGTCTAGCTATAACTCTTATTTATAAAGTGTTAGGCTTTCATAAGCTTATGCAATCTCACCTGTACATTCCTAGCTATCAGTAATGTTTTTTCCTGGATTTTCTTCTCAGCAACCCGATAGCAGAAGGGTCAACTCTTCTGTTGGATTTTCTGTTTTGCAGCATACAAGCAATGACCCATATTGCTTTGTGGAATTTTATGAACACAGAGATGCAGCTGCTGCATTAGCTGCTATGAATGGGAGAAAAATTTTGGGAAAGGTAAGATAATAGAATAATGGCACCTAATGAATATATGTGTTTGCATGTCAAATTAGTTTGCATTATTGTGTAGCAAGTTTTTAAAAGAATATTCAGCTCTGCTGAGTGATGGTTTTGCTTTATTCAGCCTAGTGCTTTTACAAAAATTACCCTGCTTGATAAATGACTTAATAAGTGGTAAGTGTTATGCTTTTTAATGATATCTCTAATAATTGTATTAAATATAATCTTTATTTTTAGGAGGTCAAAGTAAACTGGGCAACAACACCAAGTAGCCAGAAAAAAGATACTTCCAGTAAGTACTCCTGCTGCATTTTACTGTGGAAGAGTTCTGAAATTATTCTGGCAGCATTACCAGCTTAAGTAGGGATTTTCCTTCCCTTAGTGTTGCCTATAAAAGGTTTAGTAGCAAAAATAAAAAAAATGAAAGGTTTAGTAGCTGACTTCTTAAGTATTTGATTACCAAATGCTTTGATTTCAGATCACTTCCATGTGTTTGTTGGGGATTTGAGTCCAGAAATTACAACAGAAGATATCAAATCAGCATTTGCCCCCTTTGGTAAAATATCGTAAGTATCATAATCAATACTATACTCAATAGTGATAGGCACAATAGTATATGATTAACTTGTATAAGAATTAAGATTTTCTTTTCCTAGTTAGTGTGATTTTTGTTTTGTTTTTGTTTTTATTAGATGTTGTTGAAAATGTTGTCATTTTAATGTTTTGGGGTCTTGTTTTTATCTAATCCTGTGTATAATGTGTTTAAAATTTTTAAGTGATTGTTTGTTATCTTTGAAACAGATGTTTGGGTGGTAAAAACTATTATAAAGTCCAACTTTTTGTCGAATGTTTTCAATATTTGGTGGTTAAAGATAATGGGTTAAAATAAATGTGATTTATACTGTGTATTAAGCTTTTTATAAGTGGGGGAAAGTAGATAAATCCTGGGGTATATTGTGGTTAGATTGAAAATGTATATGTTTAATTATAATGATAAATGTTATTATAGTATTAAGTTTCAATGTCTGAGCCATAAATTTGGATTAATTGTTTTTTGTTTTGTTAGTGGTGTTTTATTCTGCTAGTTAGGGCCCAAATGTGATTTAATTTTTAACAAAGTTCATGCTCAAATTTCACTATATGTTACTTGATCAAATATATTAGGAAACTAAAAGTGGTTACAATTCTATAAAATGTTTATCATAATTTATCTTTTTGATTAAGATCTATTTGTTTTATGTATTTCCTGTAGATTTAAATGATACGTTTTAGTATTACTTTACAGGAATATGTTTCAACTAAGAACAACAATATTTTTCTGTATACAATTTGTTGTTCTATAGATTTAATTTATTTGAAAGAAATATTTAATTCTTAATTTTCTATTTTGATATTTGCTTTGCTTTTTAATCTCTAAATGTGGTAAGTAGAAAATCAGTATAAAAAATAATACAGGTTGCTGTTTTTCAATCTTTATTTATACCTGAGAGCTGCAGTTTTTCTAAAGTCCAAGTCACAATTAAAAGTAATAGCATTCTGGTTATTTTGCAGAATTGCTCATAAGAATGGACAGGATCTTGAAGGCTAACTGCAAGGAACTGTGCACACTGGAACTCAGTTGTAGATTTTTTTCTCATTTCTATTTATTCTTATTATACATTATTTATATATACATATATCTTAGTATTTACATTTTAACATTCTATATTCAGTGGAGTTCTATATTTCCAATCATTTTAACTTACTCACTAAAATTTCTGTGTAAATTTGTTGTTTTCGTACTGGTGTGCTTAGCATTGTTGTTAGTTTTTTATTCTCCTTTCTTAAATTTCTGAAAATGTCAATTTTTCAAAATTTACAGCTGCCCAAACTCCAAAATGATGATAGAGAATTGACCAAGAAAAATAAAGAAATCTGTTAACAGGCCATGTATGCCTTTTTAATTCCTATTTTTTCCTCTTTTTCAATTTTTTAATATTTCATATATTTTGTATCACTAGGCAGAAAACATTTAACTATTTAGAGATTGCATGGTAAAGTAGTTAGCATTGTTACAGTAATTTATAGAATCAGTAAACCTTAGAGGACACTAGCCAATAGAATATTAGAAAAGGAAACTATTGTTCCTATTAATCTTCAGATTTGAGCATTTAGTTTAGAAAGCACAGGCTATTTGATTAGGTTGCATGTTTATTACATGTTTTTGTCCTACTGCTTTTTTCTAACAGGTAAAGAAGCGTTAGGGAGAGTTCAGGAATGACTGTAGTTAATTAGGGCTAACTGAAATTTTATTTTAAAAAATGCTCACAATACAGTGTGTGTGGTTCCTTTTAGTTTTTATTTTGAGGATGACTCTTACTTCCCTCATTTAGCTGTGCTTCTTTTCACAGGGATGCCCGAGTAGTTAAAGACATGGCAACTGGAAAATCCAAAGGCTATGGTTTTGTATCTTTTTATAACAAACTGGTATGTTCTTTCAATTCAATTTAAATTTAATACAGAATTTAGTCATTAATTAATCTGAAACTTGAATATTTTTAGATGTTAACTACAAACACAGCTTTTATGTAATTTTGTATGTCTTAACAATAGAGTGTAATTAATATTTTTCATAAGCTTAGAAATATATAGCTGGAAAAAGGTAGCCTGATTATAATAAGGAAGAGTAATAAAGTTGTGTTTGTGCATTGGTGAAGGTAAGATGTAACTTAGAAGTAAAGCTAAAGGGTAGGACAAATGAGGTAGTCTCAGAATTTGGGGGGAAGTTAAATTATATTTGGTCTTAATTTTGAAAATCTCAGTTTTAACTTCTAATAATTATTCATACTTTTGTAGTTGGGATATTAAATGAAAATTGAAGCAACTCATCCTGACTTTTGCATGTATTTTTTAAGAAAGAAGTACTAAAATATCTAAGTATTTGCATTAACTATAACATCAGATAATAAAGTGGGCTTTGGCATTAGCATTTTAGAACAGTTTCAGCAACTTAAATTACCTGCATTTATTGAAGCAGTAAGATAAAGGGCAGGAGTCATACATATACTTTCTTTGCTTAGATTCGTTGCAAATTCACATTAATTCTGAGAATCCAAACTCATTTTTTATTGGCAGTCACTTTACAGCATTTTCCAACAATGCAGAAGTCTTCTGCCCTAAATGAGTTTTTAATCTTGTGTTATAGTTACAGTCCATTGCTACTAGAATGTACATTTTCGGGGTTAGGTGATTTAGACCATAACATTCGAGTTTTTACAAATTATTCAGTAAAAGTTATATTACAAATCATCTATAAAATATTAGAAAACAACTTTGTCTTACGGGATTTCTGCCTTATTTTTTAACCAATGGGATTGTGGTCTTTTTCTTGTATATGTGAATTATAAATTTCTCTGATGCTTAAATACTGACCTGGTATTTTGAAATCTATAAATAATAGCTTTTATGAATCACTCAATTTAAATAATTTTCTTAGTATATTAGTCCAGTTTTGTTTAGGATGCTCAGTGAATTAATTTTACTAATAAGATTTATTGGATCCAACATTGACAGCATTTTCTTTCATCTTCTGGGTCTTATATACTACAATTTTCTGTTTGTAATTGCTCTTTCTCTTTTTTTCTCTACAGGATGCAGAAAATGCAATTGTGCACATGGGAGGTCAGTGGCTGGGTGGTCGTCAGATCAGAACCAATTGGGCCACACGTAAACCACCTGCACCTAAAAGCACACAAGAAAGTAAGATACGCCTACTCTATTCACATGATGGGGACTTCACAAAGTCATGGATTAGTATAGTCTTAATTTCTTAAACATTTTATTAGCATTGCAAGACTCATTTCATCTTGAATATAATTGAAAATAATTGGGCTTTGATACACGTATATTTGGAGCTGTGAACCAGCTGATATAGATCAAATCAGAGCGTCAAGAAAAATATTTTCTTTCATTTTTCCCCCAAAATGAGGCATATCTTAATATAATAATCCCTTTTGTAACACTTTATAGCTGTCAACATTTTTGTTTTCTCTGTGCATATAGATAACACTAAGCAGTTAAGATTTGAAGATGTAGTAAACCAGTCAAGTCCAAAAAATTGTACTGTGTACTGTGGAGGAATTGCTTCTGGGTTAACAGGTATTGTGTTTGGTTTTCTAACCCCCTTCTTTCTGGAGCTTCATCACTATTAGTACCACTTTTATGATAAACATGAGCCTTGAATAATCTGTTTGTATGTTTTTGTTTTTCAGATCAGCTTATGAGACAGACATTCTCACCATTTGGACAAATCATGGAAATAAGAGTTTTTCCAGAGAAGGGCTATTCATTTGTCAGGTAAAATTCTACCTGTAATAATATTACTCTTAAATTTGATTTGTTCCTTTCAGTTACATTATTTGATCCCCCCAGGTATCAGAGTTTGTTATGTTAGTATTACTTTGTAATGTAGAACTTCAAACTACCTATATAATGTACTCTAGGATACCAATGCCAAATTGACACTTATAAACTAACAAGTGTGTAAACTAGTACTGTGTACTGTGTTAAGTTCTTTAAAAAAAGTTTTTCTATTTTTCTCTCAGATTTTCAACCCACGAAAGTGCAGCCCATGCCATTGTTTCAGTGAATGGTACTACGATCGAAGGACATGTTGTTAAATGCTATTGGGGTAAAGAATCTCCTGATATGACTAAAAACTTCCAACAGGTAATTCGATTTTTCATAGCACTTTTTAAGGTTTCTATCTTATGTAGCTACATAAACACTTTAGAAACTGAAATTAAAAAATGAAGCATATATCTGCTTTCAATTGATTTTTAATGCTATTTCAAAAGTGATTATTTTGTGGTATTAACTGAATCTTAATACTTTCTTTTCACAGGTGTCACCACCCCAATAAACTTAGACAATGATAAATAACAGAGTCCTATTCACATAAGGGTGCTTAGTTTTTCTCTTCCTTGTCTCCCACTTTCTTCAAATACTGTATTTCTTACTTGTTTCTTAAAACAGTAATTTGCTTTTTCCTAGGTTGACTATAGTCAGTGGGGTCAGTGGAGCCAAGTTTATGGAAACCCACAACAGTATGGACAGTATATGGCAAATGGGTGGCAAGTACCGCCTTATGGAGTATATGGGCAACCATGGAATCAACAAGGATTTGGAGTAGAGTAAGTTTGGGTTTTTCCAGTATAGAAACATATGGTTCTGACAAAAGCAATAAAAAGTATGTTTTTCCTAGGGAGGATCTATTTAAATTAAATATATTGAACTATTAAAAACCTTATGAAAAGGGATTTATGGTGCTAAAAATGTGTTCTTATTACCTAGGTGAAAATGGAGGTTGGGGTAATATTCGGTGTGTCCTACTACCTTTATAAGTAGTGGTAGAATTTGATTTACATTTCTAACTTCTATTTTATCTACTTGTTTATTTTGGTGTGGAAAAGATCTTTGTCTATATGTTCAGAAATGTAATGATTTATACCTGTTGACTTGTGTTTGGGGTTTCAGAGGTTTATCTGACTTAAAAAGTAGCTTGCTTTTTTTCCTTTGTTGATAGAGTGAGCTGGTCCCTTGCACTTTTATCCCCATAGGCCAGCCACCTTTATTTTCATTTGTTCCTCCTTCTTTTTTAAACATGAACTTGTGTTTTTACACAATTTCTTGTAAATTGATATACAGTGTGCAATATACGGTAGGTAGATAGATGATGTGTTGAATCATTTGTCATTTTAAAAAATTATTATCTTTTTCTTGCTTTCAGAGAGAAAAAGAGAGGGAGAGACAGACAGAAGCATCAATGATGAAAGAGAACCATTAATTGATTGGCTGCCTCCTGCCCACCCCCACTGGGGATCAAGCCTGCAACCCAGGCATATGTCCTGACCAGGAATTGAACTGTGATCTCCTGGTTCATAGGTCAACGCTCAACCACTGAGCCACGCCGGCCGGGCCATTTGTCTTTTCTTCAGAGTAGTCATTGTGTTAAGTTGTGGGTATTTTCTTAACAATTTAAGACTAATACTGTGCCCTAGCCGGTTTGGCTCAGTGGATAGAGCACTGGCCTGTGGACTGAAGGGTCCTAGGTTTCGATTCTGGTCAAGGTCATATGCCTGGGTTGTGGGCTCAGTCCCCAGTGGGGGGCATGCAAGAGGCAGCCAATCAATGATTCTCTCTCATCATTGCTGTTTTCTATCTCTCTCCCTTCTCTGAAATCAATAAAAATAAAATTTAAAAAAAGACTAATATTGTAATATGTGTTCCACATATGTGGCCCATGTATCGATTATTTCTTGGCTCTTTGTTGTAGGTTTGTTGATTCCTTGATGTCTATTCTGTGATTTAGCTCTGCTTGGTTTTTGTACAAATGTACAGATGATTTTTCCTTGTGTTTGCTGAAGTGTTTTTTTTCTTCCCAGTCAATCACCTTCTGCTGCTTGGATGGGTGGATTTGGTGCTCAGCCTCCCCAAGGACAAGCTCCTCCTCCTGTAATACCTCCTCCTAACCAAGCTGGATATGGTATGGCAAGTTACCAAACACAGTGAGCTGGGACTCTAAACAAAATTGTAATTCATAATAGCTTCAGTTTCCTGTGACACTCTGAAGACATGGAAGTAGACATCGGAAAATGGAAATATTTATTTTAAAAATTGAAATGTTTGGAACCTTTAGCACAGCTTTGCTTTGGTGAAGGACACATGTCTTCTAGTTCTGCCTTTTTAAGTTTTTGTTCATGATGGATATGAACATGATTTTTCTTTGTGTACAAAAACTAAAATAAAGTCAATAAAGACAATTCTGACTACAAATTTTATAGGAGAAATGGGTAATACATTTTGATTACTAGATACTATTCCATTTTTATCTTGCTATTCAGTATTTTAACTCACTGTTTTTAAAAGAGCAAAAAAAAAAAAAAAAAGGGAGGACCGTGAAAAACTGGGAATCACATATAAGTTCATCCTGAATCTTGACATTTCCTTCCCCTACTCTGAGGTGGACCACATTCGAAGTCAGCAGAAAAAAGTGTGATATTGAGAAGAAATGCATGGTTTTGGAGTTGCTTTGGAGGAAATACTTACTTTATGCTTAAAGAAACCTGAAGCCAGACTGATAAAGAAATTTTGCAACTTAAATAAGGAACAGCATTGTCTGAGTTACTTGGTGATCCACATTAAGACATATTTTTAAGACTTTAAAAAGTGTTATTAAAACTGTAGTAAATTACATTTCACTTTTGGGGGGAAATTCCAAGTATGGTGTTTGTATTAAAGTCAGACAGTCATACTTGTGCTTTTACATGAAGTTTAAATGATATACATTGTAAATATTAACTACAGTGTTTAAAAAGCATGCTTCAACATAGAAGTAGCAATGTAATTATTTGAAGTAACAACAGTCCACTGCATTGAATGCAATGGATTGATAAGAATGTTTAAGACTGACATTTCCAAGGTTGGCTACTATGTAAAATTAAAATTATACAAATTACTATACAGAAAAAGCCTTAATTTTAATTTCATATAAATCTTTGATGCAGAAATACATTTTAAAATGTCACTGCAGATTAGACTTTTTTCTTCGCTTTTTTTCCCCTTTGCTTTACATCACTTGGTGTGTAAACACCTTGATTAAAACCTTGTAAACTGTATCAAGGTTCCTATAAATTGTATAATACAAGTGTTTTTTAAAAAATATTTGGGTGTTTCTTAAATTAGATATATTTTGCCCAATAATTTTTTAAACATATCTAGACAGTTCAGTGTACCAATTTATAATTGGCTGTTCGCTTTAACTAGTACACAGTTGTGACTTTTATTTTTGGTTAATTTGTTTTCCTGTGTGGGTAGTGTGCATGGGATGACAAGCCTGAACAGAGGCTGGGCTGTGTGAGTGCAGTTTGTAAATGAATTAGCAGGTGGAGAGAATGAGGTTTGTTTCTGAGATATTTTTCAGGCTATGTGGATAAAATCTGCCTTGAACTTTTATCGTAACAGGAATGTAAAAGGGATAAAATCCCATGTATTTGAATTTTGACAGCTAGGGGGTGCAAATGTTTAGGCAATATATTTGAAATGTTTTGAGGCCTGGACACCAAAATGAGAAAACCCTTTATAGTTTAGTAAGTTGTAGCTAATATCCACAGATTATTATTGAAACTTTTGAAATCTTACAATTAGATTTGAAATAATGATGGTTTTATAAATGGGTAACCACAATAATTTTGGTATTATTTCCCTCCCCCCCCCCCCCCCCCCCCAATTTAGAAATATAGCTAATTGTTACTATACCTGAAAATTCAGAGTCTGAAGTTTCATCTTTGGGCCAATTTTATATGACACTTTAGTTTTAACCTCAGTAGTAGTCATCTGTTATATTCTTCTATTACAAAATTTACCCTTATTTCTTTTGTTCATGGTGTCTTTGGGGGATGTTATGGAGAAGTTATTTTACACTTTATAAGGAGAACACTCAAATTATATCAATTATGCCTCCTAGTAAAACATTTCTTGAATATATGTGAAACTTGAACAATTAAAGACTTAAAAATATATGGATAAAAGCCTATTAAATTCTCAGTTTGCCTTTTTTGGTCTGCCAGTAAATCAATTAGCTTATTGCGATAACAGCTAAAATATAGCTGCAGTATTTCCTAGTTGTATATTCTATGAATTAATAAAATTATAAGGACTAATTATATTGCCATAGTAAACATATGACTGAAGTGTCCTTTGTCTTAATCAGAAAGAGAACAAGATTTCATAATCAGTTTAGTTAGTGGAAGTTATTTCATAGTAACTTGTTTTTTAAGTATCCAAACAAAATGCACAATCTTAGACTAAAACTGTCAAGCTAACACCGACCATAACAAAGTGAATTCAGTGCTATTTTGATCCAATTTAAGCCCAAGAATCGTTGCCTTTTCCATGTTCATTAGAAACAGCAGAGATTCTTTGGCATGCAATAAATGTTTCTTATTTTGTAATTATTTTGAGATTGATTTTGGTGATGTGATTTTGACTGCCATCTTTGCTCTAATCCCTGCTAGTATTTCCCCCATGGCATTCCCACTTGATTTTTATGTCTGTTGGCAGTAGCAGGCTAAAATGACTGGCCAACTTAAGCCAAAGCTGTAAACCACAGTTGAAGTAAGTCTTTCAATAAAGACTACACTCTATGATAAGTGGCCTTTTCTTGTTGTTTATTATATAATCCAGGTTGCCATGAAATAAGCAATTTTACTGTAATTTGTTAGTAAAGTATGTGGAATATACATACATTCCAGACCTGTTTCTGTGTTCTATGTAAGTGTTAAAAGCCCATTAGCTTTGTTGAATTAAATCTTAATTTCTGGATATGGAGGACTAGAAATTTGCATCCTTCTAAAAATGTATGCTCTGTTAAAGTCTCATTAATTTAGAGTCCACAAATGATGGAAACCATTATTTTATCATGTCTAGGTAGAACTTTGGTGGTGAGTAAAAATTGCATTAGACAAAAACTAAGAATTTAGTAAATTAGACACTTTTTAGCTAGTATGCCCAACTTAAATCTTACCTCCTGAAAATCAGCATTTGGGCTTCCACACATATTAAATATTGAATTTGCATTTTTAGTATGCATTGAAAGATGAACAATACTTTTACTAGTTTATGTAAGCCTTAAGTGGTCTAAATGAGCAGGTTTCTGCTATTGTATAGTAATAAAATGTCCTCAATTGTGTTTAAACAGGTTAATGTGAATTAGAGTGCCATCTATGCTATTTTTAAACAAGGAAATAAAGTGGATAATTATGACTTTTAAGAACTGTATTATTCCCAATTATAGTTAGCGTGGTATTTAAATGCTATATTAATATGTAATATGGACTACTTAAATTGGGTCTGTTTTGAAACTTATGTGATAGGCTAGAAACTAATTCACAAGGTACTTTGTGTAAATATTTCTTAGGGGCAAAAATGACTTGGTTTTAGAACTGACTAAATGTGAAGGAAGTTTGATTTATATACAGGAAATGGGGAACTATATATTGGATTTTTAAAAATCTAAGGCAAAGAAAGGGAAGGGCACTAATAGTAGTTGACCCTTTTGTCAACTTAGGCTTTTGTTTGAGGGGGGAGAGAGGTTATCCACATAATATTCATAGTTTGGTTTTTAAACAAGAATGTCAACTAGAGTGACAGCTGATTAAAGGTGTGACTATAATGAATGATTTTCTTAATGTACCAAATCAGTTGTAATACATAAGCTACATTTTTAAACTTTTCCAAATTGCTGCATTAAAAAAAAAGTTTATATATTACTTTATAAAGTAGTTGCCTTTACCTTAGTTTCTTTTTTTAAAAAGATTTTTTAAATTGATTTTTAGAGAGAGAGGGAGGGACAGAGAGAGAAACATTGATAGAGCAGAACATCGGTCCGCTGCCTCCTCTACACCCCCACTGGGGATCAAGCCTGCAACCCAGGCACGTGCTCTGACCGGAAATCAACCAGGTGCACGGATGACACCCAAGCCACACTGGCCAGGGCTGCTGCATTTTTTGAAATTTGACTAACTCTGAGATGTTCCTGTGGAAAAGTGATCCATATCTTGAAGTCAGCTTGGAAAGTTTACCAAACATGAATAAAATGGAAGTGTGTTGAATAGCTGGTGAAGGAAAGCCAGAATGATTGCATGTTGCAAAGTCATCTTTCTGTGCACATGGTTTTGCAGCTGGGTTTAGCTTTCCTGTGTTTTGACTCCGCTTCATTCTTGTGAACTGACAAGAGTTTGCAGAGAGCCTGGTTGTCAGGTGGTACTGTAGAATTGCATTTTTGAGGTAAACCAGACTTTGCTGTATACCATACTTGCCTGCCCAACTATGATTTTTTTGGTTGGTTTGTTTCCTGTTCCTACACCTTTTTTCCAAAAGAATGGTTTATCAATGAAGAGAAGTCTAACACCTTCTGGGTAAAATGTAGCCATATCCAACTGTGTCTGTTCTGAGAACTGATACTAACATTGTATAAATTTCAGATTTTTAGTCATGTTACTGGTTGAATTATGAGTTGGGACTATTCAAGTCATGAGTTTAATATGATTACCTTTGCTCATAAAAGTAAATTTAAAAGTCTTAACATAGCTAAACAAAATTGAGAATGCCCATTTAATAAATTTTAGTTTGCTTCTTTTTGAAAAGGACTAAACTTGCAAAAACATTTTTAGCTAGTTTACCCTAGCTGGGTTATATGTTAGCATATGGCCCATCTCCTTCTGGGGAGAAGTCCTTGATTCCGAAGAGTGTTAAGATGGGAATAGACAATCCTGGGCAGGTGAAGTGAACCATGCATGAATATCAGGGCTTGGATATTGATATTTAATATATTAGTTTAAGACCACACACATTTTATCAAGACGACTAGGAGACTTCCCATGTTATTGAAAATAAAATATTACCAACATTTTTGTCTTACAGGCCCTGATCATTTTTATTTAATTTCCTTAAGGTGTGTTTTTATTAGTGTATCTACTTGTGTATTAGAATGTTGGGCAACTGCTGCTGTTTTAAAATACTGCCTTTGAGCATTTTCAGTAAAATACTGGGATAGGGATATTGGTCAAAATCCACATTTAGTTTATTAAAACCAAGCACCTATTTTTAAAAATGGATGATCGTTCCCAGGTTGCTTTGCTACTTTTATGTCTTTGGCTATGTCAGTCTCTGGTCGAATGTAAACTCCATGGGGGCAGGGACTCTCTCTATATATTGATTTTTTTACAGAGAGGAAGGGAGACGGTTAGAGAGTTAGAAACATCAATGAGAGAGAAACATCGATCAGCTGCTTCCTGCACACCCCCTACTGGGGATGTGCCCGCAACCAAGGTACATGCCCTTGACCGGAATTGAACCTGGGACCCTTGAGTCTGCAGGCCAACGCTCTATCCACTGAGCCAAACCGGTTAGGGCCAGGGACTTATTTTTGATAACTATACAAACCCCAGGACTTACATGAACAGTACTTGGCACAGGTAGCTGTTCAGTAAATGCTGAGTGCATGAATGTAATTGAGGAAGTAAAGGTAAACATGTAGTCCCCCTTGGAAAACAAGATCACCACTTGGTGTTCTACTTGAGTAGAACTTGATCGGAGTTAACTGGGTGCTTGTTAAAATGTAGATTCTGAGGCTGCACAGTTGTGGTTGAAGGTAATCTGAAATCTCATTAGCAGGGGTTCCTTTTTTCCTCTTCTCATTCTTGTCGGGAAGAAAATCCTGTTGATCATGGTCACACATTTTCCAGAAAAACTAGTTTTTGGAGTTCATGACCTGTGATCGCTACTCCATATAGTTTGTCAAGCATCTTTCAAAGGGGATGGGAATACACTCCTAATGGTGATGTATCTGGGCGCACCACGTGGGAACGTAGCTCCCCCTGCATAGCACTCTCCATGGTGCTGGCTAGTTTGGGGAGGGTTATTTTTTAGGAAGAGGGGCTACCAGCAAGGCAGAACTGGGTTCCTGGACAGGCAGCATTTGAGTATAGCAGAACTAGGAACTAGCCATGGGACGTGACAGTTAAGATTCTTGAAGTGGCATTTATACTTCTAGCACATAGACATCTTAGGTCTGTGTGCTTCAGCATCTTTGCTAACTGGTTAGAAGGAAATTTCTTGTTTAAGTGAGAATCAGAACAGAAGGACATTTCCTACTTAAGTGACAGTAAGACAACTTATAAAAAGACTTGTAGCAGCAGATAATTTGAACTGTTGATCTTCCAAGGTATGGTATATATATATATTGGTAATAAAGGTTAACCTTTATTTTTATTATTAGTGACAGAAAAAGGCAAAGGCCAATGATGATGACTGTTAATTTGTTTGGGCTGCCATAACAAAATGCCACAGACTGGGCGGCTTAGACACTTCCCCAAAGTGGACGACAGGTGACCCAGAGACCCATGAAAAAATGCTCAGAGTCACTCACTGATCACAGAGAGATGCAAATTAAAACGACAATGAGGTACCACTTCACACTTGTCAGAATGGCTATCATCAAATCAATAAACGACAAGTGTTGGTGAGGATGTGGAGAAAAGGGAATCCAGTACACTGCTGGTGGGAATGCAGACTGGTGCAGTCATTATGGAAAACAGCCTTTATGGAGCCCAGCCGATGTAGTTCAGTGGTTGAGCATTAACCCAGGAACCAAGAGGTCACAGGTTCGATTCCCGGTCAGAGCACATGCCTGGGTTGCAGGCTCAACCCCCAGTAGGGGGCAGCCGATGGATGATGTTTCTCATCGATGTTTCTATCTCTCTATCCCTCTCTTTTCCTCTCTAAAAATTAACAAAAACATATTTTAAAAAAAAAACAGTATGGAGTTTCCTTAAAAAATTAAATATGGAACTGCTTTTTGACCCAGTGATCCCTGGGTCAAACATCTAAACAGAAATAGAAATATATCCTAAGAAACTGGAAACACCAATCAGAAAGAATGTATGCACCCCTATGCTCATGGCAGCACACTTTACAATAGCTAAGATCTGGAAACAGCCCAAGTGCCCATCAGTAGATAGATGGATAGAAAAA